CTGCAGAGTTATGAACAATGGTTGTGAATTACGCCGTATTTCAGTGTTTGTGTTGTAGTACCTTGGCCAGCTAGCCTTAGAACCATACTAGAGATTTTGGGCAACATAGTGCTTCAGCGTGGGTTGGTTAAAAAAATTAATTTTAAAAAGTAAGGAATGGGTCTCATCAGGCCTGGGGATCCATATGGAAACATTGATGAGTGTAGGTGGGAGAAATATGTGGTCCTCTCTCACAACATGGGATGGGTGAGCTATAGTCATGTGAGAAATTTATACATCCAGGAGACTGGATCTAACTTGTAATTGACTAGAGTAAAGAAAAGACTTGGGAAGGAGAGATTTGGCACAAGACTTGGGAAAGGCAGTGAGCCAGCAGAAAAGCTTTAAGGGGTGAGACTTCCTTTGGATGGGCAATGGCAAGTCGTGTCCCTCCCAGTCCTCTCTCCATTTGCAGATATGCAAACTTCTGCCAACAAGGTGGGATGGACAAGAAAACTGGGCGCAGCTTGATTCTTTTGTGAGACAGATGTGGCAAGATGCAGCCAACAAGGTAAGTCATCTTTGGACAAGTAAAGTGCTTTGGGAGTCATCCGTTTCTGAAAATAAATGTGTCTAACATTCCCTCTGTTACTAGAAGACTTTTTTGTTGGACAATGTTGTCTTCGGTAAAAGAGGCTGCAGAGGAGTTGAGGAAGTTGGGGCAACCTAGTGACTCTGTGCTTTGGGGCAATTTATGGATAACTCCCTGTGATCCTGCCATCCCAGGATTAGCTCACGGTACTAACTCCCTCATTAGAGAGCAACTTTCTGAAAGGAAAAAAGCATGTCTTACTCACTTTTGAGTCTCCAGCACTAAGCATAGCACCGATCACCTAGTAGGCACTCAGTAACTGTAAATTGATATGTGAGACATGACATCTGGTATCTTTTATTAGAACAAAAATTAATTTGTCCTGAAGGGCTCCTGAATGAAATTTTGACTTTTAATATGTGTCTGCGCCAGCATGAAGATTAATATTTTAGTGTGACAATATGGAGTTATTTTGGCTGAAATGATTCTTTTCTTTCTGTGGTGTTAACTGGTAAAATGAAAGATAATGTGATTCTAATCTCTTCAAAGCCATTTCCGATTCAAATATGGGAATGTGTTTCTGCAAATCAGGGCATTTTCAGCTAACGGATAAAGTAGATTAAAAACAAAACAAAAATGCTTGAGTCATCTGACTACTGCTAACAGGGTTTAGGCATTCATTAATATTGGGACAAACTGCTAAATTTAGATTTATTTATGGTTAATTTGTTTGATGTATTTCCTTCAGAATAGTACATGAATAATGATTTTGAATGTGGCACAGACCCACATCATCCTTTTATATGTATGCTTATATAATTTTTAAAAGTTGGATGCGTTTTAAAAAACCGTTTAAAATTTAGATGCACTCCATGTGTACATTCCAGAAAGAAGATGAAAACCTGCCTCCTTTATTGTAAACCTCATTGAAGGAGGAGTTCAATGGAAACCAGGGTTTTGCTGAACCCTCACTGGCTGGGGATTCAGGAGCTATTAGGGCTGGAGAAGGTTATGATAGAGAAAGACAAGAGGAATCACACAGACACATTGCTGGAAAGAAATCTACACAAACTTGTTGACTTGAAAACTGACATATAGCCGGGCTCGGTGGCTCAGCCTGTAATCCCGCGCCTTTGGGAGGCTGAGGTGAGTGGATTGCCTGAGCCCGCGGGTTCGAGACCCACCTGGGCAGAGAGACCTCATCTCTACAATAAATCAAAAAATAAGCCGGGCGTAGTAGCGCATGCCTGTAATTCCGGCTACTTGGAAGGCTGAGGCGGAAGGATCGCTGGAGCCCAGCAGGTCGAGGCTGCGGTGGCCACTGCACTCCAGTCTGAGTGACAGAGTGAGACTCCAGCTCAAAAAAAAAAAAAAGGAAAACTGACATATCAGTGTCTTTCTCTGCATGGGGTGAAACTAGAACAATGAACTCCCACCTCTGTAACATGCCTAGGAAAACTTTGAAACATTCTGATTCTGAGTAACTTTTTTCTAAGGGAATTAAAATAGCAGCTGCAGTTTGTACAAAACAAAACAAAACACACACACACACACACAATGGGGAATTAGATGACAGCAGTTTTTTTTAATTGATAACTGATATTGTTGCCTCTTTAATGGAAATGTTTGAATTGTGTATTTTTTATTGTTGTTTGAAGAAAAATGGTGAGAATACTACAGTGCAACTAGAGAATATGAATTTGGTAAGATTAATCTAATTTACCTATGATACATTCCCCATTTGGGAGAATTTATTTAACTGATAACTTAATTTGGGTAGAGAAGCATTTTAATTGGAGCTGATTACTGTGGGGTTTTTATATATACCATAACGTACTGTGAGTTATAGCGCATGATATAAAATTGGATAATTTTAAACCATATAAACTTTTTGGATATTTTTATCCCAACGACAGTGGAATTTGCTGAGAAATGTTCATTAACTAAAATTGTCTTCTAGGTTAGATATTATTCAGGAAATCTTTGAGGCCATGTCAAAGATGGAAATTTAATATAGCTAGTGGCCAAGAAAAGGTATTTAATATATTGGCATACAATGGCCATTGTGTTGTGGTTTGCAGGTCACTCCACCACCTGAATTGCAGCATTGTGAATCATCACTCTGCATGGAATGGGAATTTTTGGTTTCAAATTTAACAGATTTTCCTGGTCTTTTTACTAGTAACCTATAAAAAAATATGGAAGAATGAATTGAGTCCAAAAAAATTACCTATGTTAACAACTTGGGGGTAAAAACAGGTGAAAACCCAAAGGCAAATGATGAATTTATCAAAGATAACCAAGGAACAAAACGAGGTAGCTTTACAATTCAGCTGAAAGATGGAGGAAGAAGACAAAGATGTCCTCTGAAAGACAGAGGAAGAGGACAAAGATGTCAAGTGAAGCAGAGGGTCTCTGCATTTGTTACCTGTTCTTGTGTTTCTCACGCTCCCTTAGGTACTAAATCTCTAATATATGTCCCACTGTCATGGAATCTTTATAGGACCAGCCTATGGAGAAAGCAAAATAACTAAATAATGGATAGTCAATTTCTGGAAAAAAATAATTCATGTATTGCTAGGGCCCAGCTTCCCATTGCATTTTCAAACACCTACATCACCTCCCAGGCCTGATGTGATCTGGTCCCTGCAAACACTACCTTCATGCCTTCCCACTCCTATCCTCATTCTTCCAGCTGTAGCCACATGGGCTTTCTTTCAGTTCTTGACCTTTCTACATTAGTTCTTATTGCAAGGTCTTTGCACTGCCATTCTGTCTGAAATACTTTTCCCTTAGCTGAATCTTTCCATATAATTCAGGTCTCAGTTCAGTTTTAATCTCCAAGAGATTTTCCATCCCATTTAAATCAGTTCATGCCCCTCACTACCCCTAGGTCCATCTAACACATTACCTAGGTTTCCTTCAAAGCTCTTGTCATTACCTGAAAATTTCCTTCTTTATTATTTTGATTTTTCCCCTTCCATCTCCCCACAGAACAAAAGCTCCACAGTGTCGAGGTCTCCTGTGTTTCATTCACTGCTGTACCCCCAACACCTAGAATAGTACTTGACACATAGTGAACAATGAAGGAATGAATAGATAAATGAGAAAGAGTAAAAGGACCCACAGTGGAACCCCCACAACAAAAAGGAACATTGGGTGAAGAGAAATAGGACTAGGGAAGAAAATTAGGATGAAGGGGAACAAAGAGTGGGGTCCAGGAATGAGAGACGTTTATGTTATACAATTCTGACTCCCATAAAAATAAGTTTCTTACAGGCATACCAAGCAGAGGAAATAGTAAGTGCAAAGAGGTTCTTTTTAAGTCACCGCACATGGCTTTTTTACTTTGTTTTACTTTGGTTTTATTTTCAGTGCATGTGTTGGGGTATGGGACAGGTATGGGGGCTCCCTGTATATTTCTTTTGGGGGAAAGGCTGGATTTTCTTTCAGGCTGCAGGTGCTGCATCTTATTGGTGTTGCCAATAAAAATCATTAGACAGGAACACCACCCATAGTAGCTCTGCAGCCCAGTGGTCCCTAACCTTGGCATCAGGAACTGGTTTTGTGAAAGACCATTTTTTCATGGATGAGGTTTGGGGGTGTGTGGGATAGTTTTGGGATGATTCAAGAGCATTACATTTATTGTGCATTTTATTTCTATTATTCTTACATTGTAATATATAATGAAATAATTATACAATTTACTATAATGCAGAATCAATGGGATCCCTGAGCTTGTTTTTCTGTAACTAGATGGTCTCATCTGGGGGTGATGGGAGACAGTGACACCTGAAGTTCCTTGCTTATGTCCATTCTACTCTGTAATCTCATTTTGGTTGCTGTCACTGCAGAAAAACCTGCTTCACAAAGATAGAATGTTGGAAATAGAAGCAGGCTTTTCACTGCTGATCTGACAGGAAGTGGAGCTCAGGCGGTAATGTGAACAATGGGGACTTGTTGTAAATACTAATGAAGCTTTGCTTGCTTGCTTGCTTGCTCACCTCCTGCCCAACAGGCCTGCCCAACAGGCCACAGACTGTACTGGTTCATGTCTTAGGGGTTGGGGACCCCTGCTGTAACCTATTCTAGAACTTTTAGGTCAAGAGGAAGGAAAGAAAGTAAAGAAATTATCACTAAAGTGTACCAAGTTTATATTGGTGAGAAGTAAGATGGTCTAGGCTGTAGGGGTGGCCCCAAGTTGTTTTATCCAGAAGAATATGTGAGTCCTGGCATTTCTGTGACCCAGGGACCCACGGCCATAATTATACAATTCACTTTGCTTGTAGTCAGCAGCTCATACTTTTGAATGGCTTCCTTGGGACTCCACAACTATTGGGTGGGTGAGAGGAGAAAGGGGGCCATACTATTTGCCACATCAGAAAAATCCATCCATGGAGAAAGAAGAGAGAAGAGAATGACAGAAGTCTTCTCAAGAAGCCTCAGCAAAATGGGTGCTTTTATTTGTACTGACATGTCTACGCAAATACACTCAGTCACAAGAGGGAGCTTCTTAGGCCTGTTTATAATTTAAACTCTGAAAGGTGAGTGAGCCTAATAGAAACCTCCACCCTCCTGGTAACCCATGCCCCTTGATATGGGAAGATACTGTATCTTAGTTCTCCTCCAGTCCCTTGCTTAGGATTACACGAGAGACTTCAGCTTTGGTGTAAAGCTGTTAGCTATCCTAATCAAAGACAATACACAAAAATTAGACTCTAGGAATAAGGAACAAAATGGAGGCTTAGAAGTAGGTGGGGATAAAAGGGCAGAACTGAGCCTACATCTGCAGAAAATGTCCAAAGATGGCAGACCCTATTTAAGATAAATAGGGGAAGATGTCTTATGTGCAGGTGGAGAAATTGGACAAGGAGGATGGCATTCATCTTCCATAAGAAGTCAAGGAAGGGAATGTCTGCATACAGTGGACACCTGAATTAGAGCAGAGACATAAACCAGCAGTGATTCCCTATCTTGGGCCTGGCTGGTTTAGAGTAGTTCTCCTGTGATTGGTGAAAAAACTTTCATGAGGAGACCCAATAATTAATGCAACAAACTCTAACGAGTTCTAAGTTGGAGGTGGTTCAGTTCTTAAACTTGGGGATGGACAGGTTACAGGGACACGAGGAATGAAGGAGGGGAATCTGAACATCCTAATAAGTCATACAGTATCTCTGATCACTTTGGACATTCCTGGGGGATACACAACAGCTCACTATAACACCACAACACATAAGTTTATCTGTTTGCTCCCCAAACTAACATGACAATGAGTTTTGCCATCTTAGCTTACAGAGACATTATTTAATTCAAGTTACAATTGGATTTTACAAAAGAGACTTTGACCACATAGATATTTATAAAATTAATGTGGTTAAGAAAAAGTACAGGGGCTGGAAGTCAGAAGAGATATGTTCCCATTCTAGCTCTGTTGCTGTTCAGTTGTGTGAACACAGAGAAGCCATTTCACATCTCTGGGTCTCAATTTGTTCATCTCTAGAGTGTAAGTGATCAATTCCTGTGTGCTCCCTCAGAGTTCTTGAGTTGATCTCAAAGTAGAAGCTCACTGTGGGAATTTAAAAGCAAACAGAGATGTAGAATTGAAACAAACTTGACAACTGTTTGAGCTTTCTAATATAATTATCTGTCTTCATGAAGGGACTTGCTGGCCACTAGTCAGATACATATGTCAAAGAACATTTATTTGTAGCTTTTGACAAAAGTGATTTTCAGACAGTAGTCTTAGAATATGCTCAGGAGTCATCTCAGATCATTTCTAGTCTGAATGAACACTTCTTATTTTTGGCTTGGTTGGAGGTGGGGCTAGATGAAAGCTAAGCAGCACATCCTTCGGAGATCACAATGAAAAGCCAGCCTTCATGCTAGCAGTGTTTGGTCTGGGATAGTAGCCACATGGGTGACAGCCCTATGCCCTATCTCATACTTTAAACAACATCACTAATTTCTTTATCGAAAATATACTTGAGTTGTATATGCTTATTGCAAGGAGAGAAAAGAGCATTTGCCAGGTGTCCTCTATGGGCTAAACACTTGCTAGGTATTTTATATGCATTCTGTCATTTAATCCTTAAGCAACTTTATCAGGTAGATATTACTGTCTTCATTTTATGGGTAAAGAAACTGAGACCTAGAGTGGTTATATGACCTGCACAAAGTCATGTCATTAGGACATGGCAGAGGTCTGAAATAAAAGGTCACGTCTTCTGACTTCAGTTCTGGCTTTTTCTTCTATAACATCATGCTACCTAAAAGAAAAAGAAATGAGGGTGCACAGTCAGCCAGCAAAGTTAGGGGAAAGGATGTGCTACTAGTAAAGAGCTCACCCATTCTATATCATTTGGAAATGTACAGTTTTCAAAGAACCAGAATATGATAGAAATATTCACTATTAAAGCACTACTCAACATAAGCAATCTGACTTTGATGATTTAGAAGGTTCTTCCAGATCTTGCTGTGACTCAAAGTTCTCACTAACAATATCGACTATCAGTGCACTATAGATATACAGAAAGAAAAATGCCAGGTAACAGAAAAGGCAGATCACCTGCCCCCAAGATGCTGGGCACTGCACGGCTTCTCTCAGTTTTTATTACACAAGGTCAAGGAAACAAATGGAATCTATCCACATGGTCCTGCCTCCTTGGGCATATATTCTAAACATACATCCATTTTCATACCCAATGAGAAAAAAAATCAATTCAAAAGGATCTCACCTTTCACCAAATTCTACCCTTAAAGTCCTAAAACAGTCACATCACTGTGCACAAGATTTTTGGCAGTCACAAGCTTAAAAACAAATGGAGAATATAATTCGTATCCAAATGCACCCTCAATGGGTGGATCCGACTGCATGAGGCAGTGTGGCTGTGTGGAGGGAGAAAGGTCTGGACCTGCAGCTGCTTCTGCCAGGGGTTACCAAAGCCAGCCAAGGCTCTTAACTTATGGGTATTTCTCAGTTGTCCCAGTGCAGATACCCCTAGCAACAGTAAACAATGACATATCTGTAAGCAACCATGTCTAAATAAAGAGCTCAACATTTGAATCTTCAAGAAGTGACCAATTTCAGAAAGGCATTTTTGGCACCCTAGAGCAGACTGGGATGAAAGTTGTACCGGAGGCTGGAGAAGAGCCCAATGTGTTTCACGAGGTTAGGCTCCACCACATAGGCCCTCTCTCCCTTGGCCCTCAATAGCGAGTACAGTGCCATGTCCTTGCCAAAGCCCTTGTGGCAGTACACCTGGGACAGGTAGGTGAGGGTCCGGCGGGCTGCAGGGGCAGGAAACAGCATGGCCGGGGTACAACACTGAGAGGCAGGAACCACGCTGTACAGGGAAGGACTCAGTCGCCGCAGTTCCAGGAAATAGTGCCGACCCACCAGTTCCACCAGACCCATGCTATACAGGGAGAAGAAGAGCATGACGGGCCAGCTAAAACCTGGGCGGCTGGCAAACCTCATGTATATCCAGGTTAGTAAGGGCCCCAGCAACATGCCCACACCAAGCCACTCCAGGATCCGCATGGGCTCTGGGTTGAAGTAGTGCTGAAGCCTCTCTGGGTGATAGAGCTTTAGATAAAGAGCATCTTTGAGATGTGGCTCAGAGAAGCGAGCCCGCAGAAGGTGCTCCAAGACTGGGAAGATCTGCTCTTCTGGAACAGCATCGTCTTCCACCATCAGGACGTAGTCCGGGTTGTAGGTCTGTAGGGATGACTCCAGGCAATAGACATAGTCTTGCTTCTCTTTTTCAAATGAGTTGGTTGAAGGGTCATCGCCATAATCATCCTCAGTGCCCTCATAGCGGTTGGCCACAGGGACGTACTTGGAGAGCAGTTTGGCATCGAAATGGCTCACGCTACGTTCCACGTTGCAGAGGAAGAGTTGGTGCCCCTCACACTGGGGGCCGCACTGCTGAAGAAGCCGGTGGAACTGGGACACCACCTGCAAGACGTAGTGGAAGCCAGGCTGCCTGTCCACAGTGATAATGGTGATCACAAGCCAGGGCCGAGGAGTGGCTTGCCAGACAATGGGCACCGAGCCATTGGCGGAGGGAAGTTCTTCAAAGTAGTGGAGGGCAGCCTCACCCTCTTTCAAGCTTTGCTGCAGGAACTCTTGGCTCATTTGGTTCAGATGCCAATGGCGCAGATAGAAGTAAGAGTGAAGAAGCCGGTGACAGGCTAGGGGGGCCAGCAGGCCAAAGGTCACCACCGTTAGGATGAAGAGTTGGACAGCAGTGCTGCCCCAGGAGAGTCGCCTCAGCTTCCGGAGGAGCATGGCAGCTGGAGAGGTTGAAGCACTCATGAGTTCAACTTTTGCTCATGTCTGGTCCCAAGAATAAAGAACCATCCTAGAACTTGGGCTGGAATTATCACAAGCCAAACCTAAAGAGAGAGGAAGTAGAGGATGGTAAAGATAACTTGAAAAAAAAATCCAAGGACTGAACTCAACACATATCAAACTAGAAATTCTAATTCAAGGTTGTGCACCTAACTAGGGACTTTAAACCATTTTTTGCAGTAAGCTGTTACTGGTTGTGTCTGCTAATGATCTCTGGGATGCTCTTGTTATTTCTACAAGTAACAAGATCTCAGTGCATCCAAGTCTCCACACCTGAAAATATTTAGTTAGACTTACAATGTGCCAGAAAATCTTCAGGTAGGCTGGTAAGATCATTATTTCTATTCACCAGCTACATAGACATGGGTTCTTAAAATAGTCACACAAAAACAAGGTTTGCCACAGAGAAAGTATATATATATTAGAGTGAGTTCCAGCATAAGTGCACAGCAAATACTTGTTGATTAACTGTGCATAGTAGTTTCTGAAAATTGTCTTTTCTGCACATTCCAAACATGAAAAGGAATACTTAGGAATCGAAAATGTCTTTGTTATTTAATGTAATCTTTCACTCAAATTTCCCTAAGCTTATGCAACTATAGTTAAAATTGCATATTAATTTAATCCTGATTGTTCTGTTTTATTTTTATAGAATTATCATGGGAACCAGTGAGAGAAAGTATCTCCCATATGCAAGCAAACTCAAGAGCCCCAGTCTGTGAAAGGGAAGGAAACATCGGGAGGAAGAGCAAGAGTAGCATTTTAGCAAGGGAGGGAAGAGACAGGCAGAGTTGAAGAATGAAAGAATCAGCTGCTCTAGCCTGGTCCAGAAAGTAGTGTTCTATGACATGATGACTCAGCACATGAGCCTGAGATCAGGCATCTGTTGGTGTGAATTCCAGCTCTGCTCCCGCTTGGTGAAAAGTCACTTCACCTCTTTACATCTTAGATTCCTCAGTTCTAAAATGCAATAATAATAATACCTGCCTCGTAGGGTTACTGTGAATTTTACATGTGTTAGGAAGCCAAAGAATGCAGAGTAAAAATGCCATTAAAATATAAATGCAAAAAATATTTTAGAAGTAGGTTTAGTGTTCTGACAGAAAAAAGAATTAAAAGAACGAAGCCAGTATAAAACCAGCAAGATCAATGCAAAACTAGATGGTGTCTATAGTTCAGAAAGTAAACCTCTTGCCTCCAGAAGAATAAAGTCTGCACACATTTGGAAGAAAGCAGTCTAGCTTGTGAGTTATCACAAAGGAAGGATTCCCCAGGCACCATTAGAGGTGGCTATGCTACAGAGTCGGCCCGTGCTCTTATGTTCATGTTCATGTTCTTCCCTTGGACACACAGAAATACCTCATTTCCTAACACACCTCCTTCCAGGTGGGGTCGTGAGTAAAGTGACAGATGAGACACCTGGGCCAAGATGATTGAGAATAGATGTGCCATCACAATTTTCCTTTCCCCATTGGCCAGCTGAATGGAGAGCCTCCATGAAAGTATCTCTCATCTAGAAGTGGGTGGAGCCACCAGATAGCAGGGGTCTAAGTCCTTGAATGGCTACATGGAACAGAAGCCCTCACACTGCCCACCTCCCGTACCTAGAGTGGACTGTGTTGTGAGCAATACATAAGCCACTTGTGTCCAGTAACTAATGATTTTTAGACTTACTTATTACAGTAGTTAGCCTACCCTGCCCTCTGCAGTTGTGTTGAATACCAAACATCTATAGTACAATGACATGGTAATTTAAGGAAGTAGAGAAACAAGTTTCCTTTCAGCAACAGAAGGAGATTGCACTAAGATGTCCCAGAGGTGAGACAGTTTATCTAGCACTAGTATGATATCTGGATAGAATCCAAAGAGAGAAAAAAACAAGGAGAGGTTTGAAGTGTATAAAACCTCGAGTTTGCTGGTTTGTGAACGTCTAGGGTACTGCAAACTGGTTGCTTTTTCCTCTGATCTGCTCAGGTCAGTGGAATTAATAAATCACGTGGCTATACATCTACATGGCCTCACCAGTTCCACATCACTACCAGTGGAAGCCATGTACTAGAACTGGGCTGAGCTCACACTCCTTTGGCCTTGGGGAAGGAGGCAGTCAAGATTGTCTGCTCACACTACTTTCCCTGCCCTTCCTATTACCCAAAGAAATCGGACCTATTTAGAAGAAGAATGACACAGAGTCAACGAGATAAGGCAGGCAGCTTGGAAAATGCCGGGCATAAAGTAAGCGCTGTCACTTATTATGATATGGCAGGTGGGACAGAAATGGAAGCACCTAATATTGACATAAAGAGGAACTTTAGTCCCTGGAAACTTTTCCTACTAGGGGCAATAAAATCATTACATCTTGCCGGGTTTGGTGACTCAGCCTGTAATCCCAGCATTTTGGGAGGCCGAGGCAAGTGGATTGCCTGAGCCTGTAGGTTCCAGACCCACTCCGGCAACTTGGTGAGACCTCATCTCTACAATAAATCAAAAATTAGCCAGGCGTGGTAGCGTGTGCCTGTAGTTCTGGCTACTTGAAAGGCTAAGGCAGAAGGATCGCTGGAGCCCAGGCTGTGGTGGCTGGGAGCTTGCCACTGCACTCCAGTCTGGGCTACAGAGTGAGACTCCAACTCAAGGGGAAAAAAATCATTAACATTTCACCAGTCATCAAATAAATGCAAATTAAAAACACCCTTAGATACCACCTAATTCCAGTCAGGATGGCCATCATCAATAACTCAAAAAACAACAGATGCTGGAGAGGACGTGGGGAAAAAGGAGCACTTCTACACTGTTGGTGGGAGTGTAAACTAGTACAATCTCTGTGGAAAACAGTTTGGCTATTCCTAAATGATCTGAAAATCGACCTTCCAAATGACCCTGCAATTCCCCTAATGGGAACTGAGTACCCGGAGGAACTCAAGTCACTCCATGAAAAAGATACCTGCACACACATGTTTTTTGCAGCATTATTTACAATAGCAAAAACATGGAACCAACTATGCTGCCCATTGAAAGAGGACTGGATTTTTAAAAATGTGGTACACATACACAATGAAATATTACGCAGCCACAAAGAAGGGCAAAATTATGACCTTCACAGCAACTTGGATGGACTTAAAGAGTCTATAATACTGAGTGATCAGAAACAAAGAACTGAGTACCACATGTTCTCACTCATAAGCAGATCTTGAACAATTATAATACTATAATTGGGATTGACAGTTGTGGGAAACTGCCGGGGGGGTATACTTCATCAACAAGGGTACCTGCATAATGACCATTTGTATATCTGACCCTGAATTGTATCCCACATCTTCAAAATAAAAAAAATTAAAAAAAAATATGGCTGTGAGACAGCTGTTCTACTGATGATCAGGAAAGAAGAAGGATTCATTTCAGGGGTACATCATCCCTACCTACACCGATCAGCTCTTGCTTGGGGTGACCAAGAGCCCCAATACTTCATAACTTACAATGAAAACATGCATTTTTTGTGCATGGGTCTGTGGATAGCTATGGCTCAGCTGGGTTTACAGCTCCAGAATGAAGGTCAGAATCAGGTTGTTCCACATGACTCTCCCTCCATACCAAGCTGCAGAAGAAACAGCCATCTGGGGCATGCCCTTACGTTGTCTGGAAGTTGCACAAGAGGCTGAGTCAAAACATGCAGGTGTTTTTATATCCCTGTTTAAGTGAGCCACAGATCAAGTCCATTCACCCTCCATTGGCCAAAGTAATGGGGCTGGGAACTCTCACAGAGCAGGGGAGGTGGAAAGTGAAGATTTAATAGAAAGGAAAAGCAACAGGCCAATTTCAAAATCTTCAGGGGAAAAGAAAGCATCTAGCAATCTGCTCAGAGAGTATGGAAAACTTTTAGAATGCTAACAGGGCATAAAACCCAGCCCCTCCCACCCCCATAATTACACACTACTGAGTCCGGAAAGGCTTTGGTAATGATCCCCAAGTCTCAGTGGTTTATAAAAACTAAGGTTTAATTCTTGCTCATGTTACTTGTTCATTATGGGTCAATTGTGCCTCTGTTCCATGTTGCCTGTGATCTAGGAACTGCCCCCTGCCCTCAAATTTTAAAACATTGCTGTTTTTGTGGCAGAGAGAAAAGAGAGATAGTGAACCACAAGCTGGCTCTCAAAGCCACTGCTCAAAAGTGACAGGTCATTTCCACCCACCTTTCATTGACCAGAGCAAGTCATATAATAACTCCTGAGCTCAACAGAGCAGAGTTATGTAATTTTCCTGCAAGAAGGGAGTGCCAAAACATACATGGCGAAGCCTAGAGCCAATGATTGAGAAAATATATGCCTCTTCAGGAAGAGGCAGAAAATATTTTGAACAATAATGCAATCTGTCACACCCACCTTGGGCCATAGGGGTTATGAAGAATAGGGACTCTTTAACACCCCAATGACTAGATGACTGGTTTGCCAAAAAAATCCAGTCACATGGAGTTAGGTAGGCATTTGAGAGTATGTTCTTGTTTGCTTTTAAAATGTTTTCTTAAAGGATTTAACCAATGGCTGCACAGTAGGGTATGGTATCCAGTGCTACTTATTTCTTTCACTTTACTAATCTATTTTAAGATAACTGGCTTTAGGGGAACAGATGTAAAAACACAGGAGTTTTCACTGGTATTTTGGGGAAGGAGTTCTTTACTTCTAGCCTAATTATATGGGTGAGACAGAAGGAGGGCTATGTCCACATTGTCGTTCTGATTGCCTATTTCCAGAATTCCAGGATATTGCAGGCTCTGACCTATGCTCCAGTAACGCTATGGACTGACTGGTATCTGTTAGTTGGCCTAGTAACAACTGCACTCTACAGCCCTGATTCTACAGAACAACGTTTAATGAATTCTTATCTATGCCTTGCAAGTGTACTTTGAAACACACCCTTCTCTGAACAGAATTCTGCCTGTCACCACGTCTAAGGAACGGAGCTCAGGGAGACAGCAAAACGACACAGGCACTAAGAAATGAACGAGGGCTTGGGTGAATAAATAGAACAACAACAGTTACG